CTTCCTTCCTTCCTTCCTTCCTTCCTTCCTTCCTTCCTTCCTTCCTTTCTTCTTTCCCAGTGTTGGGGATGGATGCCCTGTGTAAATATTCCACCACTGAGCTATACCTAGCAGAACATAAACTATAAAATGTGAAAGCCCCAAAGTAACAGGGGTGCTGCTTGCTAATCAAGGAGGCCACAGGTGGGTATCTAATCCTGCTCTCACCCCATGGGGAAGAGCCTAAGAAAACACTCCAAAGAGAGGCTAGGGTATTCCAAGTGTCAAAACAACAGTAGCCAGCAGGGCATCAGAAGCAGCCATAAACATCTGCATGTTACAAGTTAGTCTATGCCTGATACTTAACAAAGGGAAAGCTGTGACTAAGTTTTGACTCACACAGCTACTGACTAGGTGCCCTTAAGAACACAGCTTAGGCCGGTGGGTGTGGCGGCACACGCCTTTAATCCCAGCATTTAGGAGGAACTTAAAGTTTCAGGCAGTCAGGGTTAAGCAGTGAGACCCTGCTCAAAACAAAGGAACAAATAAACGAAACAAACAAACAAACAAACAAACAAACAAAAAAGCCGTCGCTTAAAGTATGTTTCAGACTGGGGGTATAGCTAGCTCAGTGGCTGAGAGCTCAGTTGGCTTGTGCAAAGCCCTGGGTTCAAACCTCAGCAACACAAACACAAAAGTTATTTGTAAAAATGCAAATATGAACTGAAACAGTGCTGTCAGCTTGTTGTCTCTGCTTTTCATCTGAGGGGATAAAGAAAAACTATAAAACACATTACTGAAGGTAACAATATACTTATTACAGGACTCGGGTGCCACCTCAGAGAGATGCCACTTGTCAGGCCCAGAAAATGTCATGAAAATGCCACACACCCTTCAAGCCTACCTTCCTCGGATTCGTCTTACAGAATTGATTCATTAAGAAGTAAAACTCCCGAATGCCTAATCCCAGGACTGAGAAGATGAGAAAGAAAGTCTTGAGTTAAAGTTAGCCTGGGGCTAGCTACACTGTCTCAAAACAACCACCAAAAGGTTAGGAACAGAGACACTGTGGAGGGTAACCAGTATCCCTCCCAGCAGTAAATATACACATTATTGCTTTGGTGGTTGCTCATAGGAAAAGGTTAGGGGTGTTCTGGAATTTCGGCAAATGCCTACTTTACACTATTTCCGAACATCTTCCACCTATGGGAGCTTGCTGGTCTTTTTCTGAACGTTGAGGTCATCCAGTCTCTAGATCTGCTAGACTCAGGGATCCATCTGACTTCCTGGCCCCTGCTAAGTGACCCTCTGTCTGTGACCCTCTTTCTCCAGATAGTCCCTTTATAAAGACTCTCTCCCACAATGACTACTACATTGCCAAAACCTAATCGTAAAGTAGCAATTCAACATCACAATTTAAAATAACCATAGAAACCAGGCGTGGTGCTCATGACTGTGATCTTAGCACTTGGGCACTACAGGCAGGAAGAGCAGAGGTTCAAGGCCTGTCTCTGCTACATGGACAATTTGAAGTCAGAGAAAAGCAATACGAGAAGATAGGTAAAATACACTGGTATACTGGAGAGCATTTTGGGGGGCACTTTTATCTTTAATTACTCACGAGGAAGAGCATGAACACAGTCTCCTACCATCACAAACAATGCGGTTGAGTTTCTCCCGGTGGGTCAGCACATCTCAGATGCCTTTAGCATCTCACAGGTAAATGTGTGTTTTCTTTCTTATTCTCTATTTTAACTATGATTTTTTTTAATCAAATGAAACTTAAGATTAATGTTTCAGTCTCTCCTCTGGAAGATTACAGACTTTTGGCTTCCGGGAGTGAAGAACAAATAGGCTTAAATATTAATATTAATTGCAAAGGAAGAGGAAGCAATCAGCTTATGGACTTAACAGCAACAACTGTGTAGCTTCAGGGAAGAGCCTTCTCTCGGGAAGCCTGGGGACTGTAGGCAGCATCTTTTTATCTTGTCAGCATCACCTGGGAGGCTGTAAGAAGTGCAGACACTCAGGCTCCAGGCTCCACCCTAGCCCAGCTAGATCCCAGGGGACCCTTCAACTTGAGGAGGGGAGCACACTGAAGCTTGAGAAATGGACTGCAGTCGGCTCTGGGTGATGAAGACAGATTGGCCTCACGTGGTACTAGTATTGTACATTTCTAGAAGCAAGATGCCTACCGACACAGTCAGAGGAATGAATCAACTATGCTATGTTAAGAAGGATTGGTCCGCCGGGCGGTGGTGGCGCACACCTTTAACCCCAGCACTTGGGAGGCAGAGGCAGGCAGATTTCTGAGTTCGAGGCCAGCCTGGTCTACAGAGTGAGTTCCAGGACAGCCAGGGCTACACTGAGAAACCCTGTCTCGAAAAACCAAAAAAAAAAAGAAGAAGAAGAAGGATTGGTCCTTGGATAGACTTTTCAGATGTACTAAATTTAAAGGCGGGGGAGGGAGGAGTGAGATGAGGAGAAAGAAAAGAAAAGGCTAAAGAAAGAGAAAGGAGAGAGGAGAGAGATGGGGGAGGAAACAGACACCAGCTGCTTGAGAGATAGGTCTTTAGTGCTATGGACTCCAGGAAGCTCACAGAGCCCCCCCTGCAGGCCTGAACTGCCCACCGTCACAGGATCCTCCAGAAGTGTGTCCATCTCACTGAACTTCAAGTACACATTTCCCCGGCAAACTCTCCACAGCAGCCTCTCGAAGGAAGCCATCCTCTCCCTGTTTATCACACCAGCCGTGAACCTAGACAGCAGGACGAGGAGATGCCAGTGAGGCAGAGGGCCTGTGGGGAGGGATGATGGGAACTGCTCACAAAGCCAGTTCCCAGCTCCGGCTTGCCCACATCTGATTAGATTGTCTGTTCTCTTTGATATTCTGTGTCCTTAATCATTGCAATTCTATCCATACTGTATCTAACATTATATGCTATATAATACTATATATATTATGCAGTGTATATAATATAGATTACATACAATAGACCTTTTATGGTAATGTAGCCAATGTCTCTTCACAGTTGTATTCTTAAGAAGCAATGCATTATGAAACACACATGAGCAGGGCAGTGGTGGCACAATGCCTTTGACTGCAGCACTCAGGAGGGAGAAGCAGGTGGATCTCTGAGTTTGAGGCCAGCCTAATCTGCAGAGCGAGTTCCAGAAAAAAAAAGCCTGTCTTGAAACACACACACACACACACACACACACACACACACCACACACACACACACACTGAACACATTGATGTCCAGGTATCCTGGTACGCAGATAACTGCTAGCCTAAACGTCTGACATGGTCTTCAAACTGTAACTTTTCAATGTTTTGTTACTTTAGATGACACTGATCTTTCATTATCTTTGGGTAAAATATTTATATAAACATTATCTTCTTTCCATTTCAAATTTTGGTTTTTTTGTTTTGTTTTGTTTTTTAAATAGGATTTCTCTATGTAGCCCTGGCTGTCTTGGAGCTCACTATGTAGACCAAGCTAGCCTTGAACTCATAGAGATAAACCAGCCTCTGCCTCCTGAGTGCTGGGATTAAAGGTGTGTGCCAACAAGCCCAGCTCCATTTCAAATTTCAATAGGTTCTCAGTATGTACTGAATAGAAGATTCGGGACCTCCAACCACACTGTTGGTAAATACCTTAAACTTCATCAATCTCACAAGAACACTGAATGCAATTCCATGTTGAATTGCCACATATTCTCAAGAGTACTGTATGTCATAATAGTATCATTTGAAAACTCCAAGTGCATTTTATCAAACATAAGGAAAAAACATATCGACCTCCTAACTTTGTCCCAAAGCTAGAGAAGAGTCACATATAAAGAGTGAGCAGATACTTCTCATGGGGGCCATGTACACAGGTACTCTTCAAGCCTGAAGACATGAGTATCCTCATGAGCAAGAGGCACTCCCTCCCCCACCTCACTGTAGAGAGAACCTCTTGTGTAATGTATGGAAGCATTGCCTGTCAATCAAATGCTGTTGGCCTATTAGCTTAGGCAGGAAATAGAAGGTGGAAGTTCTGGTACAGAGAGAGGAATCCTGGGATAGAGTCGGGCTCGAAGGATTCACCCAGGAACATGGAGGAGAAGAGGCATGGAACCTGAGCAGAGGTCGCTTGCCATGTGGCTGAAACTTAGATCAGAACAAATTGGGTATTCATTGATGAGCTAGTTAGAGAACAAGGCAAAGCTTATGGCCAAGGTGTTTGTGAATATATTTTGAGTATCAGAGTTATTATTCTGGGAGTTTGGGGTGTGGGAGGAAAACCATGTACCTCATCAGCCTTATGTATTACTCCTGGGACTATCTCTGTGTAGAAGCCTTGTATTCATTCACATGTTCCACACTCAGGAGTTCGTCATTCACTGATTCATCAGTCAGGGAGACTGATCACATACCAGACATCAAGTGAAGGACCAGGCACCTACCTACACCCAATTCTAGGGTATAGAGCTATACTAACCCCAGCTTTCCAGTCATGAATGCAGGTAGGGCTCTTAACTCCAAGAGACCTGAAGTGTCTTCAACAAAGAAATCTTCGCCTAAGTTGGTTTCTGTCTGAAAGATAAAACACCAGCCCCATCAAACACAGGACAATGTAGAAGACCCTGGACTACAGGTTTGTTCTGTTTCTAAGGAAGCTTTCATCTTCCACAGATGTCAACACAGACGAACAGGCAGAGAGCTCCTTGTCAGAATACTTCCCCCCACCCCCCCCCCCCCCCCCACACAACGAAAACAACCTTCCCGCCCCAAGCCTAAGTCTGCTCAGACCCAGACCTCGCTTCTTCTGATTCTCCTTCTCTTGGGCCTTACTTTTGTTTTCTTAATTGAGACAGAGCCTCTTTATGCCACCCTAGCTGGCCTGAAACTTGACCTATAGGCCAGGCTTGCCTCTCTTCCCAAGTGCTGGGATTGAAGGCATGCACCGCCACACCCAGCCTGAGTGTCACACTATTTTTAATTCAATGGAACCTGAATCACTGAAACTGCATCTGGAATATTTCCCTTCACTGATATGGGTCAAGAAACGAAGTATTTTATTCTTAGTCCAGACCAGCCAGTTTTTGACATAGGAACTTAGGACTCTGAGGAAAGGACCTTTTATTAACTCCACCCTAAGAAAACACCTCAAAAAAGTCCTGGGTTTTCTTTAGGAGGTATTTGAGTTCTGTCAGTTCCAAGAAGCTCTTCTTCAAAGCCTGGTGATTCTGGTTGGCTTCCTGTAGCTCTCCTTCCAACTTCTCTAGAGTAGTCTGCAAGGGAGGAAGAACGAGCCAGGTAAAAAGCGTTGGGACATTTCTTTTATACATTAACCAGTTAACCAGTAACCATAGCCGATAACCAGACATCAAAGAGGCAGTCCCCATGTCAGAGCCCAGCTGAAGCTGAGCCCCTGTTCTCCTGCAAATCATGCATTCTTTAGAAGATAGTGAAAGCCAGATTCTCCAGACGTGGACAATGCAAAAACTCCCTGAGGAGTGGAAGACAGCTCATGAGGAAGTCTTGGTGTATTCTCCACTTTTAAAACCCCTAAAAGGTAAGTAATCTTACACATTGGGAATTCATTCTGCCCAGACACACTGTAGTGATGGTTAAAATGTAAAAAAGAGAGACTGTATCATCCCCCTCAACCACTCCCCTGACCCACACCACAGATACTCCAGTTTTACATGGATCCGAAGAGCCAAACACAAACAAGAGAAAAGAGGCTATAGAAAAGGTGAAGGAAAAAAGCAAGAAGGCAAAACTGAGCCAAAAAACAATTTCTTTTCCCCCATACACACACACACACACGCACACGCACACACACACACACATGAATAAGACTTGTGGTGAAATCTGCTGAGAAAAATCACCAGCAATATCAAGACGCAAAAGATCACAGGAAGTGGAATGGAGAGTTGCCTCAGTGGTTAAGAACACTGACTGCTTATCCAGAGGTCCTGAGTTCAATTCCCAGCAACCACATGGTGGCTCACAACCATCTGTAATGGAATCTGATGCCCTCTTCTGGTGTGTCTGAAGACAGCTACAATGTACTCATATAAATAAATAAATCTTAAAAAATATCACATGAAGTTAAATCACCTTCTATAGAACAGTCTAGAAACACAAAGATATAAGTGAGGGTGCTGCGTTTACTGACAAAGAAATGGTTAAACTGAGAAATAAGAAAACAGATAGGAAGGGGATCAGCAAGATGGTCCAGCAGGTAAAGGTGCTTGCTGCCAAGACCATCTCTAGGACTCACATAGTGAAAGCATAGTGAAAGGAGAGAACCAACTCCTGCAAGCTGTCATCTGACTATTATATGCACAGCATAGAATGTGCTCACGGGCACTCATGCACACTCAGAGACACATAAAGAAATCAAGTAGACATAAAAAGAGAAACTAGTACATTCTAGACACAATTTATAAATGTAATTTACAAATTTGTAAATGTAATTTACAGCCAGACACTCAAGAAGCAGAGGCATGGAGACTTTTGAGAGTTAGAGGCCAGCCTGGTCTACACACTGAGTTCCAAGACAGCTAGAGCTATATAATAGACTGTCTCAAAAACAAACAAACAAACAGTATAAAAACCTGGAAGATCACTTACGTAAAAAGACCTTTAAAATACAATGGAAAGAGCTGGAAAGTTGGCTTCAGGTTAAGAACACTTAACTGCTCTTGCAGGGAACCCGAGATCAATTCTGAACACCCACGTGAAGGCTCACAACTACCTATAACAACCATCTGTAACTTTATCCCAGGAGACCTGATGCCCTCTCTTGTGACACATGTGGACACTGGGCACTCACATGGCGCTCAGACATACATGCAGGCAAAACATCAGTACACACAAAGTAAAATTTTAAAAAGTTTGAAATAGCAAGAAAAAATAAGTTACAGAAGAAAAACAATATAGTAGACCAATATAAAATTTAACGTGGAGAATACCAAGCCATGCTCTCTCTCTCTCTCCCTCTCCCTCTCCCTCTCCCTCTCTCTCTCCCTCTCTCTCTCTCTCTCTCTCTCTCTGTGTGTGTGTGTGTGTGTGTGTGTAGCTCTCTATATATTTGTATGGATACACATGTGTGTAGCTGTGTATATATTTTTATGGGTTCATATGTATGTAGGCCAGGGATCAGCCTTGGGTGTTGTTCCTCAGAAGCCATCTACCTTGGGTTGTTATTTGGTTGTTCTGTTTTGTTTTTTTAGGTGGAATCTCTTGTTGGCCTCTAGCTCATCTCATTAGGCCAGTGAGTCCCCAGGATCTGCCTGTTTCTGCTTCCTCAGTGTTGGGATTACAAAGTGTGCCACTGTGTCTTACTTATTATTATTATTATTATTATTATTATTTAATGTGGGTTGTGGGGAATCAAACTCAGGTCCTTATTTGTGCAGCAAGCAACTTTCCTATCCTGGTGGTTTGAGTAGGAATGACCCCATAGATTCGTGTGTTTGAATGCTCAGCCGTAGGGAGTGGCTGTAGTAGATGTGACCTTGTTAGAGTGGGTGTGGCCTTGTTGAAGGATGTGTGTCACTGTGAGGTGGGCTCTGAGGTCATCTATGCTCAAGCTATGCCTAGTGTGGGACACAGTCTCTCCACTGTCTGCTGATCAAGATGCAGAACTCTCAGCTCTCTTAGCATCATGTCTGCCTGTACACTGTCATGTTCCCCCACCATGATACCGGACTGAACCTCTGAACATGTAAGCCAGCCCCAGTTAAGTGTTTTCTTTATAAGAGCTGCCTTGGTCATGGTGTCTGTCCACAGCAATAAAACCCTACCTAAGACGTCTACTATCTTGGCAGTCTACAACTATATGAGGATAGTAATAAAAAGTAGAGTCAGAAACCGCGACCAGTGAAAATTGTCACCTATGTTCAAACTGAGGTCTCTCTGCAGTCTGCGACTAGGCTTGTGTTCCAAGAGATCGAAGTCCTTCCTATCCCACTTGGGCACCGAGCACACACATGGGGCACATACATACATGTAGATAGACACTCACATGTATAAAATAAATACATCTATTTTTTTTAAAGGAAGGCTATCCTCTGCCCCCTGAAAACAAGCTTATAATGTCAGACAAATTTGGAGCAGCGAGACTCAGAATTCCTGCCTTGGCTCAGCTGAGGATTTTACAGAACAGTCAATAAAACCAATCACCGCATGCTGAGTCCAGCTGGATGAACTTTTTTTTTTTTTAATGTAGAAAGAGCCAGCTCACAGACCTTTTTTTTTTTTCTGTGCCAAGCACATAACTGGAAAGCATCCCATTCCACCCATATTGGCCCATTCAGCTCCCCTTATGTCAACACTAGGACTTTATTGCCTGTGAGAAACTTTGATGCATAGAAGCAATCTCTCCTCAAAGTGGGGTGAGCTTTGTTGAGAGGGCAAAACAGCTCCCCCATAATTAGCATAAGAGCCCTAAAGTTGCACCCTGAGATTTTCTTAGGATATTGTCTTTGTTGGGGTTTCTACTGCTGTGATGAAAATGCCAGGACCAAAAGCAACCTGCAGAGAAAGGGTTTGTTCACCTCACAGCTCTACTGAGGGAAGTCAGGTCAGAAACTCACACAGGGCAGGAAGCTGGAGACAGAGCTGAAGCAGAGGTTGCAGAGGCCATGGAGGAGAGGGTTGCTTCATATGGCTAACTCAGCCTTCTTTCATATAGAACCCAGAATCCAGCCCAGGAATGGCACCGCCCACAATGGGGGGGGGGCTCCCACAGTCCACCATCCCACAATCCATCACTAATTAAGAAGATGCCCTATGGGTTTGCCTACAGCCCAATCTTATGGAAGCATTTTCTCAAGCAAGGCTTCCTCCTCTCAGATGGCTCTAGCTTGTGTTAAGTTGGCAGTGCAGACACAAAGTAACCCCCAAAAGGAACTACCACCCACTTGCTCCCATATAAAGGACATGAAAGCCACTTGACCATTCTGAGCTGGGGAGCTGGTAAAAGTAGGCACTTACCTCCAGGGTGATCATCTCCCGGGGGAGAGGGGTCTCTGGATCCTTCTCAGGCACTTGGATTATAATCTCATTTTGCATCTCATCTTCCAGAAAACCTGAAACATGGGTGATCATGACTTCCCAGAACTAAGAGGGGGTCCAGAGGAACAGGTGCCCTCGGCCAGCTTAGCTATCTGTGCCATTCAAGCTCCCGCCCAGCAGCCCGGTCCATCCTCCAACCTTCTGTACCCTCCACCTTGGGGATCACCTCAGAAAGTATTACTCATAGCACAGAGTTATGCCAAGTAACACGGTGGTTGTATTCTACAAACTAGCTACTTCTTCTGGTTCTCGTTTAGGCAGTAAGGGGAAGGTGGCTTACGGAGGATTCTCTCCAGTGACTCGCACCTTCGGACTTCGTTCACAAACTTCCTCTGGAAGCTGTTCACATTTGCGTTCAGCTGCAGGGAAAGGGGAACCACAGGCTTACATTAGGATTCCACAGCTGCCAGTGTCCTTCCTTCACCACTGTATGTATCATCTTCTTGATGCTGGAGACTCTTGCTAGGAATGTGTTCAGAATAGATATGGCTGTGCACAAGATACATGAGTTATAGGCAAGATGCACCTTCCAGTTCCTACACTCCTCGGTGGGGTCAGGAATATGAGGGACCTGAATACTGGACAGGCCTACATAGGCATCCAAGTCATCAACAAGAATTCAACCCTTGTCACGAGTAACTCTCACATTGGGTCTAGAGAGAAGGCTCAGTGGCTAAGAGCACTTGCTATTCTAGCAGTTAGGTTTCCAGCACCCAAGTCAGGCATCTCATAACCATGTAACTCAGCCCCAGGGGATCCAACACCTATAACTTTGTGAGCACCCGAGCTCACAGGCACATGCTCCCATACAGACATACATACGTACATGTGATAAAAAATAAGTTTTTTAAAATGTTAGTGAGGACTGGCCTCTTGTTGGGTGCTATGCTAACAGTGATTCGAAGAACAAGATACAGGCTCCCACAAGAAGGCTTGCTGAGGAAATAAAGACTGATTTTCTAAATTGCACTCAGGAAAAGCTTGACAAAGATATAAATAGCCCTTGAGAAGCAATGCCCCAGGCAGCCCATTCCTAGAGTATCTTCACTGGAACTCAGTATCAGTTGCAACTGCGGACTCCAGAAAGTGCTGCCTCTAGTCTGACTAGTCAGAGAAAACAGACTGTACGTTCATTTTGGAAATCAGTAATCCTAAAATCAGTTCACTGCCCAGACCCAGTATTTTGAGAGGCTGTACAAGGAATGAAACACGGAGACATCTAACATCCAGCCCCTGCACTAAAGCTTCCAGAGAAGATATGGGAAGAAGACTTGTTGAGGGTCACCAGAAATCTTAGCCAGAAGTCAGGGCGGTGGAATTCTACCCATCCCAGCTCTGGGATCCTCTTCCTGCAGAATGTGTTTTGTTGATTAGCAAGAAGGATTGTGCAAGGGCTATCCACTGCCTCCCCACCTTCTTCTTATCTCCAAGGAATGTAGTACCTACATCTTTGAACTGAACCAAGCCAAGCTCTCCGAGTTCAGCCACACAGCAATACGCAGCCTCCACCTGGAGAAATACTTGGGATAAGCACATCTCCTCGCTTCGAAACACAGAAGCCATGTTGGCCCAGCCTTAGGAAAAAGAGAGAGAGAGAGAGATTGAAGGTAATAAATATATGAACATCTTAATGTGATTTCTTTCTGTTAGGATTTAAAAAAATCAGAGCTGGGTTAAAGTTCAGTGATAATGTACTAATATAGCATGTACGAAGCCCTGGTTCATCCCAGTGCCCGCTACACCACAGACAGACAGACAGACAGACAGACAGACAGACAAGACTAATAAACCAACATTGTCAAACCCAAATAACTCCAAACTGAAACTTATGAGCACCAATCTGATGCCACGGCTGGAAAAAGTGCCTGCCCCCTACCTCCAACCTTACCCGCTAGGTCACAACTACAATACAAGAGCCCTGGGGCCAGGCGGTGGTGGTGCACGCCTTTAGTCCCAGCACTTGGGAGGCAAAGGCAGGTGGATTTCTGAGTTCGAGGCCAGCCTGGTCTACAGAGTGAGTTCCAGGACAGACAAGGCTACACAGAGAAACCCTGTCTCAAAAACAAACAAACAAAAAGAGCCCCGGGGGAAAAAAGGGGATGGGGGAGGTGTAGCTTTCCCTCCAGCTATGTATAGAAAATGCTTATACATTATATAAGGATGAGTCTTGGGTGTAGATTTGGGTCTCATCCCCAAGACAGTGGATTGGGGATGTGTGTATATATGGCAAATACGGAAATCTAAAAGTTCTTGCGCCAAGCATTTCAGATAAGGAATGCACAAGCTCCGTGATGAGACATCCAAGGCAGTGACAGGAGCACGTTTCACTGGGAAGCAGAGAAAAGCGACGAAGGGCCTGGCTCTCGAAGCTGCTTTCCCACCACTGAGCATACACATACGCTGTCTCGATGCTCAGGGACAATGCATTCCAAAGCATCAGAGTGTGGTGTTTGTGACTCAACAGTTCCCCACCTCCAAACACTTCTCATGGGCCTGGGAGATCACTCAGCAGAGAGAGGTGCCTGCCGTCTGGCCCGATTTAACTGAGTTCAATCCTAGGAACCATAACATAGAGGGACAGGGACAGGTATGATAACACACGCCTTTAATCCCAGCACTAGGGAGGCAAGGGCAGGTGGATCTCTGAGCTCAAGGCCAGCCTGGTCTACAGAGTACAGAGCCTGGACTACCCAGAGAAATCTTGCCTTGGAAAACAAAAAAGATACACATACACACACACACACACACACGCACACGCACACATGTGAGAAAGAGAGAACAGACTTTCAAAGGGGCTCATTGAGCCTCAAAATTCTCACCAGAAAACACACCAGGCTTACGAGGTCTGGCGTCCAGACCATTCAGGCCCGGTAGGGCCTCCACCTCATGCATAGGAAGGACAGACTGCCTGTCCTGTCTCCTGTCTGCCACACTGCCTAGAAGTGTGGGTATTAGAAGCCCACCCCCTCATCTTACCCTCATGATCCAAGCCAGAAGCCCCCATGTTTGTAGGTCCAGGACTCCAGCCCTATGTTCCTCAGTCTCTTTTCCCCCCTGGCTGGCATACAGCCCTCTACTATTCCGGTTTCCAGATGACCACTAGGGCCTGCGGCCCCAGATCCTTCCTTCCTTCACTGAAAAGCTCTGGACTCAACTCCAGATCCTGGAAGATAACGATCCCTCTACTTTGTGGCTTGCCAGGCCTTGACCCTTCCCTTGGTTCCGTCTATGGGAGGACCCCTCCTCGCAACTCTCTTCCTCCAGGACTCCATGTCCAGGCTCCTGTTACCTCCTCGGATGTCTCATCACGGAGCTTGTGCATTCCTTATCTGAAATTCTTGGCACAAGAACTTTTAGATTTCCATATTTGCCATATATACACACAACCCCAATCCACTGTCTTGGGGATGGGACCCAAATCTACACCCAAGACTCATCCTTGTATAATGTATAAGCAGTATCTGTCCCAGGCTGACACCTACAGTCCTGGAGAATCTAGAGGACTACACCTGTTCTAAACAGGACCCCTTCACACACACTCGCCTGTGCCCCTAGACTACCAGCAGCCAAGTCCTTTCTGATTATGTACCCCTTCCTAACCCCCACACACCCTTCCCCAGAACTCCTCTCCTGGACCTTTGGGGGCCACACACCCACACACAACACACACACGTGAGAACACAACAGCCACAGTGCCCAGGGCACTGCTTTCCTTTAGTGTCTCATTTAGGGCAGAGGGCAAAGGAGGGCACCCTCCTGTGTTAGGAAGAAAGGCCATGATGCTTCAAAATGACCAACTGAAGTCTGTTGAGTGCAAGCAGGGCATGCTGGCCTGTCTGCCACAGACCGATTTCCCACAGGAGCCCTCAGAGGGTCCTCACTGCTTCTCTCCATCAAGTTAACCTGGAAAACCAGCCATCCTCAAGCGCTGATTGACTTCCTAACATCCAGCCGATCAGTAACCTGCCAGGCCCTGAGCCTGCCACCCCAGCAGGATAAAGCCTACAGCCTGTGAGCAGACTGGCCTTCGTCTTTTCAGCTTCATCTGTCTCAGTCTCCTCTCCAGACATCTGTCCTCATTTTCTCCCTGATTCTGCACCTACCTCAGGGCCTTTGCTCATGCTTGTCAGCTGAGTCTAGAATCTCAATCTTTCCTCTCCTCCACCCAACCAACACCCCCACATAATACCGTCATCCCTCTATTCTTCCAGCGAACCTTCCTGACTATCCTGCCTCCTGACTGCTGCCCGATTATCAGTCAATGACTTGCTTAACAAGTTCCCTATATCTCCATTAGGCAGCAAAATCCTGAGGCCGGGACTATCCAGTGATTATTCTAGCATAGAACTAGCTCAATATTAATCACAAAGTTGTCAAAAATGATTTCCTGACTTATTTCTTTTCCTTAACCCCCACCCCACCTGCCCCAGGAGTCTACCAACTGGCACGATACTCTGCCTTTGAGCACCAAAATGAATCAGAAAGTTTTTTACTATTTTGCCTGATAAACCAGAGCAACGTGTTCATTCACAGAAACTTAAGGCATTAGCTTCAGGCAAACCAAAAAGCACAATGCTTTCTCACCTGAGTTTCCTTGGAGCTTGTTCTGGGTGGGGAACCCCCTGCCCAATTCCTGGAGCAGGGCACAACCAGCAGAAGCAGTAGCAGCAGCAGGCGGCCACAGTCAGCTGTGGCTTTCAAGTGGCCCAGGGACCGGTGACAGGGAGGCCGCCCAGCCTCTCCCCCTCCAAACACTGTCCCGGCTCCCTCTCCAGAGGCCACTCTGTTGTATCAACACATCCTGCAGTGGGTGAGGTCAAACCTGCCACACCAGCCAGCCTTGCTCCACCCAGCCCCACCTGGGCCCCACCTTCAACATCGACCTTGAAAGTCCTCACTGCCAAGCAAGAACGTAGTTCTCTCTAAGAAGGTAACTTGCCCCTCTGGGAAGTACAAGAGGTAGGGTACAAGGTTTTGAGGGGGCCTTAGAAGGGTAAGACAGAGAGCAGGCCAGTTCAGCTCCTACACAAATCAAAACACTCCTTCAGTCTCAAGAATGAGGCTGGGGTGTGGCTTACTGGTAGAACACTTGCCTAGCACGTAGGAGGCCCTGGGTTTGATCCCAGCCCTGCACAAAACAGTAAGAATGAAATAACATTAAGAAGTAGTTTTGGAAGCAAACAAAGCATCTCATTCACCGTCCTCATAAGCACTTTCCCAGACACTGTTTCCAAAGGTGAAGAGGCAGATGAATCCTTAGGAAGGTCCACATCCAAAGTCCAGCAAAGTGATGAGAGGAACAGAGCCAGAGGCTTCCCTGGGCACACAGGCTTCCTCTGCAGCAGACACCTACCGCCTCCACATGAGTGAACTTTCCAGATCAGCTTTCCCAGGTGGCTGTGTGGCAGTCCCCTTTGTGCACCCATCTGGGGTCCCTGTCAAATGTACCCACTAGGTCCTCAAATGAGGGGTGGCTGTTAGGCTTTGTTTTTGTTTGTTTTGTTTTTGTTTTCCATTTTGGGTTGTGTGTGTCTGCAAAGTGTTGTGAGACAGGCTGGCCTTGAACTTACTATGTGAAAGAACTGATCCTTGTGCCGATGCCTGGGATTGCAGGGATTACCAGCATATACCACTACATCTGGTTTATGTGACGCTGGGGATTGAACTCAGGCCTTCATTTATACTAAGCAAGTATTCCACTAACTGAGCTATACTCACAGCTCATGTTTTTCACTGTTTCTTATGGAAAACATTTAAATATTTGTCAGAGTAGAAAAACGAAGTAAGTACAAGAACCTTCCAGGCATGCGTCATTCAATGTCAACCATTTGAATTTTGCGTCATCTAAACTCCACTCTCCTCTAATTATTAATACTTTGGAGCTAATACCATACAGCATACCATTTCTTTTCAAAAAAAAACTGTCAACATGCCATATATCTCTAAAAGATAAGGATTCTTTCATAGACAGTAACATGTACACAAAGTCATGATCACACTTCAAATTCATCAACAATTTCTTCATATCAAATATCCTACCAGGGATGTCTGTGCTGGTTTTTACTGTCACCTTGTCAGCATCTAGAGTCACCTGAAAAGTGAGTTAATAATGAATTATTTAGATCAAGTTAGCCTGTGAACATGTGTGGGGGGGGTCTAATCCATGTAAGGAGACCTAGCCCATTGTGGGTAGCACCATTCCCTAGGCAGAGAACCTATAAGACAGGAAAAAGCTAGACAAAAGCAAGCAAGCAAAGGAACATTCATCCTCCTTTTGATCTTGACTATAGATGTGAGTGACTAGCTGCTTGTGTTCCTGCCTCAACTCCCCTAAAATAATAGACAGGAACTTGGAAGTATAAATACAATAAACCCTTTCTGCCTCTATGTTGCTTTTTGTCGATGTTTTGTTGGTTGGTTGATTTTTTTGTTTGTTTGTTTGTTCCTTTGTTTTCCCACAGCAACAGAAGTGAAACCAGTCGAATGTCTGAGGCTTGAATATTTAATAAGCCAGTGAGTCTGAGTCCCGTGATTCCCATGCATGGTCTAATCAGCATCATTGC